TAGAGGTGTGACTGTGACTGCTTTTTATATATAAATTAGCCAAAACCAGAAAAGGCCATGCAGGAGTTTCAGTGTCTGATTACTCACAGAGAAAAGATCGGTTTTACTTAAATAGTTGGTCTAACACTACTTTTAACTCTTGGCATACTTGCTGACAGAATTCTGGTGTTCCAAAATAGAATTCCAGAATAAAACTTTTTTTCTGAAAACCACTATGCCATGTGAAAACCCAGATGTTTAGGTCATTTTGAGGGACACAGCGACACTCAACAGCCACCTTAGCCGCAGTCACGTCCTGGATCTGTACCTACTTCTGGAATAACTTCCTTACTACATCCAGTGGCTTTCTTACTTGTTTTTTAAGGTATAACTTCAGAAGGTCTCACGTATGACCTTTATGCTGAGGGAATAGAACTAACGTCTTCATTGTGGTTTATCTATGTTTTTAATGAATATTCATTAAAATAATGTCTCATAGTCATTCTTCTTGTATGATACTATTTGAAAAGTATTTCTTCTATAACAACACAATTTCAGAGACTGGAAATACAAAGATGAACAAAACAAGGCATCTAATCCTCACAGAGACCGTCAAAGGTAGGGCTGGAGGATGTAAACTTCTCAGTAAGAATCCCGGTTCCATTTCCCAGGTGTGTAATCATTCAGAAGTGACTTTATCACCGTGCACTCCGTTTCTTCAGCTGTAAAATGGCATGGTAGTAATATGACCTGTCCTACAGAAATGTTGACGGCCACTCACATAAAATGTTCAGCACAGTGTCTGGCTTTGCACAGCAAATTCACTACCTAATATGCTAGCTATCAGCATAATAGAGTTCAGATTTTATGGGAAGGCAGATTGTAGCATACAACCTAAACATAGTACAACAAAAGCCTTTAGTGGAGCTATGAACAAAATGTGACAGAAGCTCTGATGAGAAAGAGTATCAGTGGATTCACTTTATCAAGTTTTTACCACAGTGGTAATCATGGCTGACAGGGAAGGTAGAAGTCTCAAAAGAGGTGATCTCTGAGCTGGGATTTAAAGACTGAATCCACCAATGGGACAAAAGTGGTTAGGAGTATCCAGTAATAATTCTAATTGTGCAGCTAGCACAAGTGAAAGCCTAGCAGTAAATAAGGAGTGCTGTGGAGATGCTGTCAGAATGACAGGTCAGGGCTAAGTGTGAGTATCATGGCAGCAACAGAGAACAATGTGATCAAATCTATGGTTTACAGAAATAACTCAGCTACATTCTAGAGGATAAAATACATAAAAGAGAGACTGCAAGCAGGGAGTCTTTTATGAAACTGTTATGGCATCCTGAACAGGGACAGTGACCATGAGAATAGATAGATGAAGACAGAGTTATTAGGGACTTGGGGGAATAGAAAACATCTAGTAATCAACTGGACATGGTCAGGAAGGAAGGATGTGGGGATGACTCTGTATTATAGCTGAAATAAGAAACACAGGAAAATAAGCAGGTTTGAGGAAAAAGATAATAAGTTCAGCTCTATAAATGTTAAGTTTCAGCAGGCAAAAAATCAAGTGGAAAGTTTAACGTACAATTCCAGCCTTCCAAAAAGATACAGCCAGGATGATGGGCAAAAGAGAAGGTAGAAAAAAGGGAAGAATGTAGCACTTTAAAAAAGAATCCTTGCATAGCTGCACAGCTCAGGTTGTTCTATGACACAGAACCAGAAATGGCCAAATACCTCTCCAAGGTTGCTCTTCTGTACCCCAAAACTGGTTCACCTACTGTACTTAGCAAGCCTTGTGAATTTCCTTTCCCCTATTCCACATATACTCCCTATGTGCCAGGTTCTGTTCAAGATTAAAGAGACACACACATGAAAATTCAAAACCTGCTATTTAGAAGACAATAAGCAATGAGAGAAATAAATATAAAATGCAATTTCTTTTTTGTACTGGGGACTGAACTTATGACCTTGCACTTACCAGGCAGGCACTTAAGCCACTGAGCTAAATCCCTGGGCTCTAAAATTCAATCTTAAGTAAATAAATGCAATAAGGAAAAAATAAAGCAAGTAAGAAACTAGAGGAGGAGGGCAGGATTTGAAATCAGATAGTAGTACTACCCTAATCACCAACTCAAAAAATTTATGTCAGAGCACACATCTCTGATGAAGTGACATTTTGAATGGAGACCTAAACTGATAGAGAAGAGTGTTTCAGGCAGCAAGAAAAGCAACTACAATGACCCTGGGATAGGAACTACATTGGCAGAGTTGAGAAACAGCAAGGCAACCAACTTGGTTAGAATTGACATAATAGTCATATGATTCTTATTATAGTTCCATACTATTGTCTTGTATTGTTAACTAATGGTATTTTAAAAATTTTTGTGGATTTATATTCTGTATTCTCAACTCTATATAAGCCTATTGAGAACAAGGTTTATATTCAAAGTTCATATCACACAGTACCTAGGACACAGTAAGTGTCCTTCTTCATTCATTTATCTATTATTGCGAATTGGGATCTCTAACCCTGCCTTGTTGCACTCTCAAACAGTTCTGGGCTAATCCCAGGTGCTGCTCACTATCTCGCAAGCCACTGGGGTGCTATTTTTTGTTGTGGTCAGTAAGAAACCCAGGCTATGCCTAGAGCAAAGGAGAAAGGCCAAACAGAGATTCACCCTTGCTGTTTGAAGCCTAATGCTTTTTCTTAGATGTTAATATTAAATATTGAAATATGAAGTAATTCTGCACATGCTCAGGGAAGCTGTTTGCTTTGCCGCGATTCTATACTTAAACATTATAATATTATTATTATCCCGCAAGGGTGTCCTGTGAATTAATCAGACATTTTCAAATCACTTTGAGCTACTCCACTGGGGGTACTAAATAAATGCTATGTTGTTCTTCTGAAGTGCCATTTTTGACACTGATTTGTTGTGATGGGCTCTGCTGTCCAACAGGGCTGGAATGCACCCACCAACTAGTTTCCTTCAAACAACACAGTAGCTTTCAGAAGGCAGTGGTTTTCTGTTAAAATAAATATGAATTGAAGTGAACTAGTCAGCAATCAGAAGCAAATAGACTGCTGTTTGAAATCTAGTGTTTATTAGGTGCTCATGGTGATCGACATAAGAGTTTCACAGTGTGATACAGTAAAGCAAATATTAGATTTGGAAAAGGTCCAACATTTTAGATCCAGCTGTGCTACTAACTAGCTATACAAACTGAACAAATTGCTAAACTTCTCTGAGCCTCAAAACTAAAGTCAGGGCTGTCCTAAAAAGCACATAATCAAAATCTTCCAGAGAATAGAAATACATAAAAGGAATGGAAATATTCACTTCTGGAGGAGAGACACTTCACAGCAGGGAGAAGCTTCTGACCATCCATCATAGGACCATCCTCTGCTTTGGTCTTCCTTGCCATTGATTAATATTAATTTCAGTACTAATTCCTGCAAAGGGAGGAATAAATCACTTTCTAAGTCAGACACAGACGGGCATGAAACATTTGGTTTTTAAAAATAGGGTCTTTGCCTTTCTATGAGCTGTCCTTGCAGCATCTGTCTCGTTCTTGGATTTAAATATATTAATGATTGATTATACCTCTATCCTAATTGCTAGCTCAAATATATATATATATATATATATAAAGTAGTGAGGTGAATGCCACACAAACACAATGCATTGTTCTGGAGTTTTGTGAGAACATTTTACAGTGTTACCTAGTTTAACCATCTCCAACATGTTACTGTCTGCAGTGCCCAGCACTGAGCTAGATATGAGGCACAAAACAAAGAAACAGTAAAGAACATGGTTACTTTTTGTGATCAAAAAAGCCATAGGGGGAATAACTGGAATAATGAACTATAGTATGTGAGCTCAGTTTCCCTTCACATCTCATCCCAGGAATCTTAGTAGGGTCCCAAGCTCAAAAAGAAGAAATGTTGATCCTCCAGAACAAATAAAAATGCAAAGATTCACTTGAGAAATTCAACTCAACAAATACATACTGAGTTACCACTACTTCTAAAGCAGGTTGATGACTGATAAGAGTAAAAATTGATAAGATCTATTTCCTACCTTAGGGACCCTCCTGGTTGAGAGTGGTGGGTATGAAGCAATGATCATGAATCACTTTTACTTCAAAGTGAATCGTCAGCTCATTTCGGATGCAAAAATTTTAATGATACAGTAGATGACAGATTTTTGTAGGCCTAAGGCTCACTAATATTGGGTTGCTAAAATTCCTGGGAACAGAAATTTAGAGAAACACTACATTCCAAAGAGGTAAGTGTATGTACCAAGCTACAGAGACAAGAGTAGCAGAATGTTCTCTGTTTAGCAACTAGAAAGTGGCAAATTCCTAGTCACAAGGGCCATGACAGAACCTTAAGTAGAGTCTAGGTACGGGCCCTGCTTCTGTCCTCATGACAGATGTCAGTCATGCAGTTTCTAATCCCAACAACTAAACATGAATTCCCTTTTCCATTTTCCTCGTATTGTCCACTGACAGAAAATTTCATTGTACTCTAAAGGCCAGGCTACCCTAATAGAAACCTGGTCTCAGAATCGGCCTAGTGTGAACTATTCACAAAAGCAAGGTGACTGAGTGCCAAAATGCAGTTCTTAGAGACTCTAGGGAAGGAAACCCACCAGCATCAGCATCAGAAGCTCTGTTCAGCTTCTCATCCAAAACACCATTATTTAGAACACCCACCCGGTGGTCCTGGAGAACTGCTCCCCTCAAGCGAACTCTGGGACTTCCTACCCAGGACATCCACCTAGTCTCCATTCTTTCCCTCTATGACCTTAGAGGCCAGGCCTTGGGCACCTCGTGATCGTCCCTACTTTTCTTCCTCTTTGGCCTTCTTCTATATGGGCTGCACGGAATCCAAGGAGGTTAGGTGGGGGCATTGAGACCAAGGAGGCCTGCCCTCTGCGCAGAGCTATGGTTCCAGGGCAGGTGCTTGGGACAGGATCAGCTGACCCAAAAGGGAAGAGGTGGGCGCTTACTGGAAGCCAGCTGAATCCGGGGGCCAAAGCTAAGATTCCCTGAGGGCCAGATCTGCAGGGTACTGGGTCCTGGGGGCCTAAAAGGTGCAGAACTGTAGTGCTTCGGTAACACTGAGCTGCTAGGAGGGCGGCAGTGAGGTGCAGGTCCCCAGCTCCCCAAGAAAACAGGCGCGCTCCCGCGCATTGGGCGGGAATCGTGGGGGACGCGGAGGGGCGGGCGCGCACCCCGCGGAAGGGCGGGGGCGGAGGAGGCGGAGGAGGCGTCTCTGCAGCGCGGCCCCGCGCACCGCGCCAGACCCAGACGGAGCTTCGCGGTGGCCGCAGCAACAGGCGGCGGGCTGGGCTCAGGGGCGGAGGCGGCGAAGGGGCGGGAGGCCGGCAGCAGCAACCGGGCCCCGCCGCATGGACGAGCACCTCAGCCTCCTGTGCTCGCCGCCGCAGCCCCCCGCCGGCCACCGCGCCCACCCGCCCCAGGACTCCGCCGGCGGCGGCGGCGGCGCCCACACACTGGTGAACCCCGGCTGCGCGGAGCCCGCCGCAGGCCCCGAGGCGCCGCCCGACATGACCGTGGTGCCCGGGGACCACCTGCCGGAGCCCGAGGCGGTGGACGGCGGCGGGGGCCCGCCTCGAGGCGGCGGCGGCGGTGCAGGGGGCTGCGACCGCTACGAGCCGCTGCAGCCCGCGCTCCCGGCCGCCGGCGAGCAGGACTGCTGCGGGGAGCGCGTGGTCATCAACATCTCGGGGCTGCGCTTCGAGACGCAGCTCAAGACCCTCTGCCAGTTCCCCGAGACGCTGCTGGGCGACCCCAAGCGGCGCATGCGGTACTTCGACCCGCTCCGCAACGAGTACTTCTTTGACCGCAACCGGCCTAGCTTCGACGCCATCCTTTACTACTACCAGTCCGGGGGCCGCATCCGCCGGCCGGTCAACGTGCCCATCGACATCTTCTCGGAGGAGATCCGCTTCTACCAGCTGGGCGAGGAGGCCATGGAAAAGTTCCGTGAGGACGAGGGCTTCCTGCGGGAGGAGGAGCGGCCCCTGCCCCGCCGCGACTTCCAGCGCCAGGTGTGGCTGCTGTTCGAGTACCCCGAGAGCTCCGGGCCGGCCCGGGGCATCGCCATCGTGTCCGTGCTGGTCATCCTCATCTCCATCGTCATCTTCTGCCTAGAGACGCTGCCCGAGTTCCGAGATGAGAAGGACTACCCAGCCTCGCCATCGCAGGATGCCTTCGAGTCAGCCAGCAACAGCACGTCGGGGCCCCCCGGGGGAGCCTCCAGCTTCTCAGATCCCTTTTTCGTAGTGGAGACCCTGTGCATCATCTGGTTCTCTTTTGAGCTGCTGGTGCGTTTTTTCGCTTGCCCCAGCAAAGCCACCTTCTCAAGAAATATCATGAACTTAATAGATATTGTGGCCATTATTCCTTATTTTATTACTCTGGGCACCGAGCTGGCTGAGCGACAGGGCAACGGACAGCAGGCCATGTCCCTGGCCATCCTCAGGGTCATCCGTCTGGTGAGGGTCTTCCGCATTTTCAAGCTCTCCCGTCACTCCAAAGGGCTGCAGATCTTGGGGCAGACATTGAAGGCTTCCATGCGAGAGTTGGGCTTGCTCATCTTTTTCCTCTTTATTGGGGTTATCCTTTTCTCCAGCGCGGTCTACTTTGCGGAGGCAGATGACCCCACTTCGGGTTTTAGCAGTATCCCAGATGCCTTTTGGTGGGCAGTGGTCACCATGACAACAGTTGGTTATGGTGATATGCACCCAGTGACCATTGGGGGCAAGATTGTGGGCTCTCTTTGTGCCATCGCGGGTGTCTTGACCATTGCATTGCCAGTTCCTGTGATTGTTTCCAACTTCAATTACTTCTACCACCGGGAGACCGAAGGGGAAGAGCAAGCCCAGTACATGCACGTTGGAAGTTGCCAGCACCTCTCCTCCTCAGCAGAGGAGCTCCGAAAAGCACGGAGTAACTCGACTCTGAGTAAGTCGGAGTATATGGTAATAGAAGAGGGGGGTATGAATCACAGCACTTTCCCCCAGACCCCTTTCAAAACGGGCAATTCCACTGCCACCTGCACCACGAACAATAATCCCAATTCCTGTGTCAACATCAAAAAGATATTCACCGATGTTTAATATATGATACAAGTGACACACTGTGCACATTGTTCTCTGAAATGTGCCCCCTGGTCTGTGTATGCCCTTATTTTATACATTTCCAGACCATCCATCGAGGAAAGGACATGAAGAAGAGGGAAGCACACTTCATTCTCCCTCTCCCTAGTGCTTCATACTGAAACAGGTGCCTGTTTTGCAAGTGGGCTGCATTCTCTCAGCTCTTTTTTTTTCCCCGTCTTAATTTTGTGAACAAAAAGTTACATTAAACTTGATTTCTAGCACATGTCCTATTTTTTTAAATAAAGTACACCCTGGGAGGAAATGAAACTAAAGGACAGTTAGACTGCAGAGTAACTGTTTAAATTCAAAATTAAAAGGTAGTTGGATTCTTTACTAAGTAAAGTGAGCGAATACTTAAGTGATTATTTTAGTGGACACTGTAACATTTTATCGAGTGTTTAGTTCAATTGCCTACTCTCGAAATATGGATGGAAGATCAACTAAAACAATGACTGTAAGCTTATATGGTTTTTGACTGGAGTTTCTGTTTCAGTCCTCCTCTTCCGGCGTCTTACGGGTCTGAACAGCTTTGAACAAAGGGAAATGCCCAAAACATCCTGATCTGACTAATGGTTTGGAACTTGCTAAGCATTTTGCAAGTATTAGACTAAAAGATTTCAGTCAAGTTCTGTGTATATGTCCCAGCTAACATCTTTCAAAGTCTAGAAACAGATGTTTTCAGTGCTGCTGAGAGAAACAACAAAAAAATTCCTAATGCATCTGAGATAAGCTGCTGCAGTATCACAAGAAGATTAAAGTGGCAGACACCCCTTCCAGCGGAAGTTACTAATTCGGACCTGGCTGATGCAGTTTCTATAGCAACCCATGTTTCCTGGGAAACCCGAAAAAGGTTGTCATGGCATCTCTTGCTCCCTAGCCCCACCCCCAGCCCTTGCTGTTTCCACAGTAACCTTTCCAGATGGTTCTTACTTACATGATTTCATAAGGGAAACTACTATTTGAAGAAACCGCACAAATAAAGTTAAGTGTGAGAATCTAAGAAGGTGAAAGAGTTGCCAAATGCATTTTTTCTTATGAACAGCATTGATGCTATCCCATAATGTCTGAATTGACAAGGAAAATACCATCTTTGGAATGTTACATGCAAACCACAATAAAGCATGATACGAATTAAATGCCAGTTTTTAGGCAATAATTTTAAAAGATGCTCTCTACAGTTTTCTTTCTCCGAGAAGTGATGACAACAAAATCTACCATAAAAGTGTCCTGTATATAAGCAAATGAGAAATTCAGTGTATCTGAAATCTTACTAGAAGGGACCTTTAGACTTCCTTGTGAAAATAAAATGCAGCTCCTGCAAAAAGACTGTCACCATTACAGCACTTGAAAAACAAAATAAGCAAATATATAAAGGATGCTCATTTTTAACGGAAGGAATTACAATCAGTGGAAGGAAGAGTAGAAGTAACCAGATCTTAAAGGAACATCTGCAAGTTTCAGCTATGTACAAGGGTTGCCAGCAGACAGACAGAATCAGGTGAGCACTGTGTATTATACTGACTTTTGTACGTGGAACCAGATTCACATCTACATTGGTAATGCTTAGAAAACCAATAGCTTTATATTTTATGTCAAGTGCCTTTCCTTAAAGTTTACATCTTTCCCGTTTTTCCACGTGGCTAATTATTCTTTGGTTTCCAGTGTTTATTTCCAAAAAAACGGAAGAAAAAGTTATTTTTCCTCAGAAAAACTTTTCACTCAAGCTGAACTGAAGATTATTCCATTGCTTTCACCAACCCATTTGGTTTTTGAACAACCTGTTTCCCCTTAAAAAAAGAATATAAAGCAGACTCTAAAGTTGATATATTAACAGTCCAATTTTAATTTACATAATTATTCAGTAGTAAACACTAGTACTGTTCTTTGAAACAATAATTGTTTTATATATTTATATAAATTACATGTTGTACACAATTGCTTTTCCACTCTGATAACACATAATTATTCTAGAGTAAATTAGAGTAAACCTTGTTTTTAAGCTCATCAAATATTTTCAGAAGCCTGCATACTTTATTATTTGTGCATTTGAGAAAGTGAGCCACACTGATTGATACAATAGGAAGAGAAAGAGGAAGAAAACACAACAAAACACATCCAAAAGAGGCAAGAAATCTGTATATACTCAACTGTAGAGTTGTTTGCTTTTATCTATATGTATCTGAACAGGATTCCTTTATCTAATTTCCTTGGCTTTTTTTTTGAGTTACTTTTAACATCAATACACATTTTTACCTAACATTTGATATTCTTAAAGACCAATTATTCTTTTTATAACCCATTTTAATAATATTAAATATGCTGTAGCAGTCGTATAAAATATTTTATCTATCCTTAAAAAATCTTAACATAAAGGTGACAAATTTATTCACATGTATGCAGAAGATGTAGAGAACTTGATTAGTTCCATAAGTAAATGATAGTTATGACTTAATTTTTATGAAGGCATAAATAATATTAGTTTGAAAAAGACCTTTTATCCTTACCTACAGATATAGCACAGGTTTTGAGTCTTAATTTTGAGGAAATATAACTGCTTCTAGTCGCCATATTGGAAGCTTCATAAAGGTTATAAGTTCTGTGCCCTGATTGTTTAGATGCTTGATGTTTTGAATATTGTGTCTAGCATAGAATGTAGCAACATGTTGTGTGTTTATTGATCAAATGCTTGTTATGTTGCATTACTGTTACTTCCAGGCTTCCAGTAAGATGGTAAAAGGGGTTAAACTCCACAGTCATATTGCCAGGGTTTGAATCCTTAATCTGCTGTATGACCTTGAGCAAATTATATAACCTCTCTGCACCTCAGTTTCCTTATTTGTAAACTAAGATAATGAGTATTATTTCACATGTTTATTACAAATACTAAATGTTAATACAAGTAGAAAACTTAGGAAAAATGATTGCATGATGTTACATTATTTTATGATCATTACAAGCATATATAATTAATAAAAATGTTGTGAATGGCAAATACCTAAATAATCAATGTTTTCCTATTTCCTTTCTATGATAATAATAATTACCGTGTATTAAAAGTCACCCATGTCCTGGACATTTGTCAGTTCTCCTAGGTAAGTGCTATTAACTTCATTTTAGGAGGATAACAAATAGCTCAGATTGACTGATTTTCTGTGATTTCAAGCCAGCTCTTGCTGGCTCAAAACCCTTGTTTCTTTCATTGGGAAACCTGAGAGATAAAATAAATCCCTGTGCTCTTGTGTTTGCCTTCAGCCTAGGTTTCTAATTATGAGTTCATGTAAGGACCATATCCCCAGAAGCCTATTGTATTAAATGTTCTCAAAATTAACCCTTTCTTAATAATCAGGTATTTTTTAACCAGAGGAGCAAATGTTATTTAAGTCAGATAGATATTGACTTTTCTGGTAATTTATATGCTTGGTTATCTGGATTTAATATTAGAATAATCAACCATACTAGAATATTCTTTATATATATTGGTTATCTGGATTTAATATTAGAATAAGCAGCCATACAGTGCTTTTTTTTCAGTTTGACATTTATTTTTGTTTTATGTGTTTTAATCAAAAATATATGGTATTATTATGCAAATGATTGCTTTTCTACCTCCTTATACTTTGCTTAGGTTGCTGAAGAACTATACCAGAAAGCAATGTAAACAGTTTCACTCTCCCTTATTAAAAAGGAAGAAATTTCTGAGAACAGCAAGATTGAAAGCAAGAGATTTCCAGTTCACTGAAATTTGTGACACTGTGGACTTACCCAGCCACTCCATGAATCTTTAAGAGAATCTGTGCTCAACAGATCCTTAGAATATACTTTTGTCATACATACTACCTATGGCTCCTTCACTAAGGTCTTAAATCATTTATGAAATGAAAATGGTAGTGATTTGACCTTAAAGCAAAATGCAAATGAATCTTTTTGCCCATGTTAGTTAGCTTCACCAAACTACAGGTTTCAGTGCTAAGCTCAGTTGCACATCTGGGTGTTGAAGAAGTATATGCGTCTATATGTTGCAAGAAGAGATTCTTGTAAGCAGTGTAACTGGATCGATGCATATCTATCAGCACCATGGGGAAAATGTATCTACCCTCATAGCTACTAGATCTAGAGAGAAAGAGGGAGGTAAACATTTGTTATTATTTTTTTCTTACATAGCATTTTTAAATATCCACTAACCACTGCAACATAATTGTAGAGACCTACACATAAAATATTGTATAAGTTATCTGTGAGCTTCTAAATATAATTTCAGAATTGAAATTTTAAATGGACAAGAAATTTAAAGTTATGGTTTATTTACATAAACTTGTAATTTACCTCTTTGATGTACGATGTATTTAAGTAATTGCTTTGCAAATAGTATATTAACCTAACATGCATAATATATTCCAATAAGTTACTCCTTTGAGAACCATAACTGTAATTTATTCTCTTCTATACATTTAAAATTTCAACATTTTCTACAGCAGTTCCAAGTCTTTCCTACCTTTCAGCTGTGACTAGAAATGGTAACCCCTCCCACTAAGAAATGCAAAGAAGCACAAATGTCCCCCAAAGTGAAGATATGTGGAAATAGTGTGACATAGAGGAGGATGGGGAACATTTAGGGATTGCATCTTAAGGTGAAATTGTTTTCTGTTTTGTATTTGGCTTTTTAAAAACAAAAATAAATCTATTAGTTTCATACCACTAATTTATTGTATTTTTTATTGTGACAATTTTACATATGCTAATTAAGTCACTTTTTTATATACCCCAAGGAGAATAGTTGATAATCTTTGAGAGAATGTCAATCAGAGGAGGAAGGAAGAAGGGAAATAAAGCCATATAAAGCCAAAACTTTTTCTTTTTCTTCTTTTTGTAACAGATGTACTTTTTCTTACATTTCAAAATTTACACCATCAATCATCCAAAGCATTAAAGGAGAGATCTCAAAAAGAGGCTCCATCATTTTCTTTAAAGCCTTATTATTGTTGTTATAAACTAAATAGTGCAAGATAGTAACTCTACCTTGAAAAAGAAAGTCTGGTATTCGGTTTGTTAGTAATATAGCAATTAAATGAACAAAAACGGTGTTTCATCAAATTTGAAGACTGTTATTAATAAATCTAAACTCACATCCAGCTATTGTCATAGCACAAAGTTTTGGGAATTTCTGTTAAGATCACCACAACTTTTTAGTGTGAAAGTTAGCATCGCACCTATCATTCTCTCTCACTTGTACTTTTATAGAGCTCTCTTGATTACTCCCCCAGCTTTCGTCCTTCTCCTGACATGACTGTATCCTCAGCATGGCCTCCTGAGTAATCTTAACACACTTGTAAGATCACTTTCTTCATGTCAAAACTCCTATCTGGTTTAGTTTTTCAAACAGTACAAACTGGAGACCTTACAATAGCCTGTAAGGCCAGACCTAGCTCAGGGTTCCTTACTCTTCTGGCCTTGTTTGCCACTCTCCAACTTGACCCATGCTGAGCCACACCGACCTCCTTGCCATTGATAAGATGTGGAGTCTTTTTCCTTGCTGTTTCCCTGCATGGAATGTTCTAGCACCTGGCATCTACATGGCTCACTCTGCCACTTCCTTTAGATCTTACATTCTCAGTACAGATTTCCATGACTGCTCTATTTAAAACTGCCATCCCATGACATTCTCTGTGTTCTTTATCTACTTAATTTTTTCTCTAACATACTAGATACTTTTATTTGTTTGGTTTAGTGTCTGTTTTCTCTTTCTTTCCATGAAGACACAATTTTTTGTCCGTTCATTGTGGTGTGTCCTCCCAGATAGTACCTGGAATGCATTTGGTTCTTAATAAGTAGTTTGTTGAAGCAGTAATGTGAGTAGTGCAGATATTGCCAAGGTTTTAGGTAACACTGTGGTATGTGTGCTTTCCCCTACAGTAGAAAATGAGGGTTCTGCTGATGGAATAGAAGGAAACTTTATCCAGAACTCTTCCGAATTTTCTCCTTTTCCAGGCAAACCTAAACCAAAGATTGACCTGGCTGTTTCCTCTTTACATCAAGTGGTACAATTTCTTTACCAAATGTGTCAACAAATTAAAAATTAACCTATGTACTTAATTTATATATGCAGACCAGCAAACCACAGAAGCTCCTTTTATCAGCTTATCAATTAAGCACACAAGACCAAATATTATTCCTCTCTTCTGAGGATAATTGTAAGGGCTTTTTAAAGAAATGACACAAAACAAAGAATTACAATTTGTTAATTTATTTTTTCCCTGTTTCCTCCTGGTTTGGGATGAGGGGTTATAACATTGTTTATTTTTATTGTCTAATTCAATATCAGGTTTACTAGATTTTTCTTTATAATTTGGTATAGTCAAATTTAAAACAGTCTCACATGATGTTACATTTTTATTTGCCTCATGTATGACTACAGAACAATAAAATATCAGATGCTTTTTTGGTATCTGATATCTGTAAGGAATTATAATTAAAAGCATATTAATCAAGACTGTCAGATTTCTGAAGGGCAAAACTGTGAAGGCAAAACCACAGATAGAAATAATTCCTCCAAGTAAGAGCCGTGTTTTAATTGTTTTATACCTAGATCTTATAGACTTTTTACCTGAAAATCTTTTAACTGATTTCAAAAGTGTAGTTTATTTTACTGTGTAACTATGTGAATTGAAGATATTATTAATAGACTTAAATATTGCATGAAGAAATATTGATTATACTTCACAATTTATTGTCTCATGACTTCCCAACTTTTGACAAAGTTCACATCTTAGCATATTATTAACTTTAGTTACTAAGTTTAAACCTCTTTTATTTGTTAAGAGTGTACAATTTCCAAAATTCCAGTCAGATAATTCTACATAAATAGGCAGGAAATCTTTCTAGCCTTTGGGCTTATTCACTACCATTTAGTTTATAGAATTTGTGGAACTTAACTGGTGTGCAGCCAATTCTAAGTAAGTTAACAGATGTCAAAGTGTAGATATGTGAAAACAAAATTCCCATACATCTATATGTTTTACTTCAATCTTTTCATCGTCAAGTAAATTTAGTGAGGCCAACAGTTAAGGAACTGAGTCTGAACTTTTTCAGTTAGGCATTGGTGGAGATATGAATGAGTTTTTAATGAACTGATGATTATTGAAATTGGACTATTCTTGTCTTTTCTTGTTTTATTTGATATAACATTTATTCGATAAATTCAATTATAAGCCACCAATTCCTACTGTACTTCTTTATTCAAAAATTTTGATAATCTTTGTTCTTTTTCTTTCAACCAGTTTCTTAACCTCTAACATAAATATCATGATTACCATCCAAATACTACTTTTTTTAAAATTTCTATTGAAATGTAACTCCCTTCACACCTATAATCTCGTAGGATACCTTAATGTACCAATTTAATTACAAGAACTTCAAGAGGCAGGTATTGATACATGAGGTTTTTTTAAAAGGCCCAACCTTTATACAAAAATGATGGAACAGCATCAAGACAAGTTTAGTTTTAATAGCACCATTTCAAGATAAGCAAGTATGTAGTAACACTAAACAAAAACCAAGCACTTGGGAAATAAAATGGATGCCAGATGATTACTGTTACTACATTTTTTTTGTTTGTGATCATTAATAACTGTTAGACCACTAAAGTTTTCAAACTCTCATAATTAAATATAAGTATACCATAGATATACGGTACTCTTGTTTCTTGACTAAAAATTTGTCTTAAGAAGCTATGTCTCTTTGATCAGCATAATCAATTATAGTCCCGGCCAGTAAGGAAAAATTTTCAGTAAATGATTGTGTAGCAAACAGTAGGTATACAGTATTTAATTTAATTAGTGAATATTCTTCCCTCAAAGGCATAAATTATAGACCAGTGTGGCTCACATGCTGCAATAGACTATATCATTTCATCTGTGTTACAGACTGTCATCTTTGGGTATTTATGTCTAATACAGAGGCATTTGCTAAAACCAAGAGGCTGTGTGGGAAAGTGTTCTATATGAATTATATTAAAGAAACCTGGATTCAGTATTCTCTGTTTTTGTCCCTGTGAGTGTCCTTTATATTATGTAGGAACTAAATGTAAAGAGCACAGGAATATAATTTCAACATATCTTTTTATTCATTCAGTATATATACCCCCTATAGAATATCCCCTATATGCCAGGCATTATGAAAAGTAGTAAAAATGTATTTAAATAATCCATTTAACATAAATTATCTACTGTGTACCAGATACCATTCTGAATATAACCGTGAAAAACACTGTCATTCTGTTGGCATTTCTAAATCATTTTTTCAATTAGAGAAAAGGACTATTAAATCTGTAACCTTTATTTCTTGAGTATCCATAGCCCTGTTCTAGTGGTTTTGTGGTCTTAATGATACTGTAAAGTGTACCTAACTGTGCAGATCTCATATTTTTAAAGGATCACAAGATTTGTAATAAAAATACAAACTATAAGCATGATATCCTGTGGCACTAAAATGTGATTTTCACAGTACTTATTTTGAAAAAAAACTGTTCCTTTATATATCTCTTATTTCCTCTCTTTCTCTGTCTCTCTCTCCCCCCTTCTCTGTTTTTCCTGCTTGTGATGCTTATCTGAGAATGGAGTTTCTATTGCCTTCAAAAGAGTTCTCAGATGACCACAGTACAATATATAGTCAGACAAGAATCAAACACTTGGAAATCCATATACATTTTCCTAAAAATCAATGGCACTGACAAGTTTTCAGATGCTTCTAAGGATGAATATAAATTTTCCTGTTCAAAAAGCAAGCAATTGCATTACTTTGGACAAAGCTTTATAGAGTCATAATTAATGGTAAAGTTTATACTTTCAGCATAATCTGAAACTTTCTAATGTAAAAGAATTCAATATGTAATTAATGGATTTAGAAAACTAAATTACTGGAACTTTTGAGAGCAACAGTAAAAAATCAACTTTTAAAAATTATGAATGGAACTTTTCTGACGTCTGAAGTCTATAGTTTCTAAATTCTACAGTTTTTAAAAGTGCATATACAATTAATGATTGCATTTCCTCTGTTCAACAGATCCTTGAAGAGCCCCACATGAGCAGTAGAGCCGCCTTAACCAGTAAGATGCTAAGTTTTCATTTACCTGGACCAAGAATTCAGTAGCAGTTTTTACATCACTGATGAGCAGGGATCTGTCTGCCAGCACATATTTTTATTTCCGTTTACATTAAATAATGATTTATATTAAGAAAACAGCTTGAAGCTGAAGGATTCTCTTCATCTTGTGTGCAGCATGAAAGCTATTACTCAAGAGACAAAGAATGTTAAAAATATTAAGGTATAACAATCTGATGTTGTAATAAAATCTAATCACGTAAAAACTATAATCAGTGTTGAAGATAAGGAAAGCCTAGATATTTGTTTCTAATAAACCAACTAATACTGTCTTATTTTTTAAATTAATTATTGAACTGTATTTAATAATGAGACATATTCATGTCATTCTCAGTGTTCTGGTTATGTGCAACTTTACTTTTGAAGGTATGTTCTGTACCAAAGGCCCCCATGAATAGCTTAGCCCACTTATACATAAGTAAAGGCGTCACTGTGCCCAGAATGATATTAATGATAGACTTGCCTAAAAGAAATGTGCCTTGCTTGATTAAACATTCTTTTATTTTTTAATTTAAAATATTTATTAGTTTTAGAGATAGATTTTAGCTTACCTTAACTTTACAAAATATATTAGTACTTATTATATGTTTATCTATATTAACTAAAATTTTAACATTTAGTTATACTTTTAAACAGTTCATGTATGATAATTCAATTTGATTTTCATGGGATGTTTGATGGGTGAGACAAAGCACATTCTTAAAGATATGTATACTATGTCAGCTAATGTCTATAGCTTTTCCTTCGAGATTATATGTGTAAAAGATTCCTTGACTCGTTTTCTATTTTTATATTCTTTTAGAAATGGAACTCTTTTTCAATTAAAAAGGCAAAATTTTAATTGGAAAAGCTATTTAGGGTGTCATAAAGATGTTTTCCCACTTTGGGACATTCACTTCTGTGCCATTATTAATGTATTTACTGTGACATTTCAGCATAATGGTAGCTATTTGTATATTATTTCATAAGCCTTATGGAAAGTCAAACTGTGAACATATAGTATATAGAAGACCTTTTTCATTTCTGTATCTGATTTTCAAAATATACCTGAACAAATGCAATGTCCTATTGTTTAAATGAATAACAATGCTAAATTATAATTAGAGTTCTTGCGTAGTTTTAATTACTATAAAATATTTCAGGTGCAAAGTCAAGATTATAAACTTTTTGATGCCTTTAGAAGGTAATACAAGTGATGAATTTAATACATAGGAATCATTAAATAAACAATTATTCACCTAATGGCAACAAAACATGTGAATAGGAGATACAATCCAGGTAACTTTCTTTGAGGCAATGTCTACAGTAAATGTTTCATAACCTTCTGCTAATTTCATGTGGTCAAAACTTGTAGACCAGATCACTATAGGATAAAATGAGATAAAGGAATGAGAACTAGCTCTTATTTGAGCTATAGGAATCTCCAATGGAGATGGTTTGTAGTTAAAGTGAAAGTATAGGCACACTTTGTTTTTATTTGGTGTTAGCCCATGTGGTAGAGATACTGGCCCAGGGAATAGTCAAATTACAGCCAACTTAATCCTTTTATCTGGTTATCATAGCCTGGAATGATTGAAACAAGCCGATGAACTGTGCTACAAGAGGTCTTAGATATGCAGAGGTATTAGTAAGGATCAGTAGGCATAAAATCTACCCTCATAAAGCACCAATAATACCATTTTAATCATTTTGGTACATTTAGTATCATATCTGCATTATTACTACAGGCCTCAGTTTTAATAAATACAAAACCTGGATACTCACAAGGAAATCACAGAATTATATCAGATAAGTAACCAAAGACATTTACAAAATGGGTAGTGAACAAAATACTCACCTAAGTAATAGAAGGCCAGAAGTCTTACCTACTTCCTATCTATGGGACCCTAAGGAAATCAGTTACCATAGCTAGGCTCCAGTTTTTTCAATTACAAAATGGATATGCTGAGTTGAATAATCTCCAAGCCCTGCAGGCCTCAAACCTATTATGTACATTTCCTGAAAAATACTTTGAACGATACTTACACACTCAGCTTTCCAGATGCATTTCTAAAGAAGAGAATGAAGTGAAATAATATTTAAGCCTTAAAAGTGTCTTAAATTTATCATTCTTCAAATTGGTTGTGAGAAGAGAAGAGAAGATTGTTTCTCCTCAAAGAATTTTCCCTTATCTACAGTGGGGTCATGAAAAAATAAAAAACTCACTTCAGAAGGAAAACAGACCAGTGGAATCACTAGAAATAAAGGGAGAATAGTTGTTAAATTTAGTTAGGTGTTAAAGTGGCTAGCCAGTTGCATATGAGATGCCAAAATTTTATTGCACACTCAACATTATAATCCTGGGAGTAGGGGAAAGTGGGAAAACATTGAGCAATAGAAGTGTTTGCATTATGGTCTCTTGATTCTTTTCACACTAGAGAGCTTAAGCAGGTGTCTGTACTGTAGTGCTGACTCTGCCAATTATAAGTCTTATGTCCCCAGGAAAGTCCCTTTAACTTCTCAGAGCTTCGGTTTCATTTTCTGCAAAGTGGAAATTTTAAATTCAGTAATCAGTTTCTTACCATTTAAAAAGATTATATAACATTTTCAAATTTTCATAATATATGGATACATGTGCCAGTTGTCCCCTGTCCCAGTTACTAACATGTTATCTATGTCTTCTCAAAGGACTGAATAGATTAAAAATTGAAATGTTCATATTTCTATTATTACTAATTGGCCTTAGACATAAAAATGTCAAATAGTATTTTCATCTGACTGTGACTTAACTATTATGATTTATCTTTTCATCTTTGAATAGTTATTTATACAAAATGTCTTTTAAAGTTAATATTTCTCTTTAAATTTTTGTGGGTTAAAAACTCACAGCAAACAAGACTCAGTATGTTTTGCTTACCAATGAACTATAGCTGATTGTAACGTACACTTTTTTTGTACCCGGGGTCAAACTCACGACCTTTTGCTTACCAGGCAAGCACTTGAGCCACTGAGCTAAATCCCTGGGTCCTGTAAAGTACATTTTTGTCACATTTAAGTTTAATGCTCTTTTGGAGCCAGAAGAAATGACTAGTAAACTAATACTCATAAAATTTTATGGTTTTTTTAATACAAAGGAGGCTAGATAGAGCCATATCATAATCAAGTTTGCTCAGGAGTGAGAAACAAAATTCAGGGATAGCCCAAACACTTTTGTTTGGCAATAATGGACAGTTGAGACAAAAAGGTTACAGCTTTTGCACAACAAAGATAACAGGTGATTACACCAATTGAAAAACAGGAGTATATTCTGGTTACTGGTTGTATGATAAAAGAGATTAGATAAAAGAGTGCTAGAATTTGGAACACTAGAGAAATTATTAAAATGATAGCAGTCCATTTGAATGATACAGAAATATTTTGTCATACTGAAATTATTCATCCAGAGATTCAGTGTTATATTCCTTGCATTCAGAAAAGGGGGCGACTTTTAAAGGCCTCTGTCATAATCAAAATGTATATTTTGACTAATGGAGCAATTAAACATTTAACCTAATCATTTGACTTTATGAATCTGAATTTTCAGGTTTAGCTGTGATTGAATCTCTCATGTATTAGTGTTAGTGATATTTGTGAAAAGTGATTTTGTCGTTGTAAAGTTTATGAAATATGCTAAGTGGTGATTCTAGCATATCGTAATAATACTGTATCTTACAATCATTTGTGAAGTTACCATACCAAACAAACCATAGTAGTATCTCTTCTGGTAAATTGTCTCTGGTGTGATCTCTTATTGCTGGGTTTGGGGTGGGGGAGGTTAAGTATTTAGTTTACTTAAAATTGTCAAAATGTTTTTCTTAAATGCCATACAATTGTATACCTATAAACCAAATATCTTCTTTTTTTTCAATTTTAAGGAAACTGTATAGACCATTTTTAACTATTCCATAAAATGATATCATTTATGTTTAAAAATTCTTACACATATTTATATATACACAAAAGGGAAAGCAAACAGTGTAGTTTTTTGTGTAATGTAGTATCATAACTTTTTTAATTATATAGATATTAATTTCACAGCATCATAATAGTAGATACACCATCTTGTTTTTGCAAACATCATTCACATATTCTACTTAAACCCTACAACGACCACATGAAATACCAGTATCACCCCCAAAACTTAGAGATTGAACAGCCAAAGTTTAGTAAGGTCATATGGGTTGTCTAAGAAGATTTGGTCAATACGTGGCTCTCAATCTCAATTCTTTACACTATTCATCCTCTGTCATGTGAACTTTATCCTGTCATTGCCATTATGTTTAAAACTTTGACTAAAATTATTTTTTAAAGATACATTGCAGAACTTCAGGTTCCTGAGTGAAAACTTCAGGTTCCTGAGTGTTATTGCTGTCAATCATTTTTAGATACTTAACTGTAGTTCTTCCATGGGGTGATATCTAAACCTTTTCCACTTACAACATTTTAAATCCCCACACACTGACCTAAAACACCAGATTTATTTAACGCCAAAATGCTAGACTAAAAAACAACGCTAATTTTTCTCATTTCCTTCTAGGAACAACATTTAGACAATATGATTCAGAGAGACAGAAAAACTAAATGCATCATAGTAACCATCTTTCAGCCTCTTTTGTTTTTTATTACACATGTGCAGTGATTGAAGGACAGGAAATGGGCATTGTGGATAAATGTATTATTTTCTGTATAAATGTATTGTTTCCTGTAGTCATACAAAAAGAATTGGTCATCAAGAGTCAGATAGCAGTGTTAATGTTTAGATATAGTTAAAATATGTGGCAAATTTTAAAATGCATATAAGGATTGCCCCAGATAAAATTAAAATCTGATGACAGCTTAGTTTAAATATCAAGAATATTCATGTGTAAATCCATGATAAATATTACCTTTTTATCCTTTCACAAACAATAGCTAGACACTGTTACTGCTTTCCCTTATAAGTCATACAGTTTGTAAAACATTCTGTAGTTGTACTGATTAGCAGTGTAATGTTACTGTGAATATTCAAATGAAATGTGTGTATGATATCAGAGTTTAAAATTTTCTCATCTTATATTTAGTTCTCATCAAGTAAGTCAAATGTGTTATTTTGTATGGAATGAATATCATTAATAACAAATAATAGGAACTCTTACTACAATGTAAAATTGAGCCTACATTTTATATTTTTTATAAATTCATTTTGTTTTGACATGGTTAATTTATCATATACCAATGTAAAGTTACAATCTTATCCCCTGTTCTCTGATGTTCTTGTCATAATAGTTTTGAGCCTTTCGTTAAGTAATTTCAGTAAATACAGTTTTGATTTTGTGGTATTTTCATCTGATCCACTTTTTTAATTTGTCATTGGATTTAAAATGTTTTGTCTGCAAATGTTATGTACCGAATTCAATAAAAGACCAAAAACATACTTGTTGTTCATATTAATAATTCCAAATTACTTCTTCCCTCCCTTCTTCCTTCTTTCTTTTTCTTTTTCTTTCCTTCAATGTTTTGTTTTTTGCAAAAGAGGAAACATTGAAAGCTAGCTGCTTTCCATAACTCAAGCATCAGCTGCTTTTAGATCAGCTTTGAAACTCATTTGGCCTCCCACTTTCTGAAGACTGTGCATTACACTCAGCAAGCCGCTTAAAGGCCAGCATTCTCCACAGTTCCCCCATTATCTCCTGTCTAATATTCTTGCAGATGCAGTGAAGTCTCAAAGAAGAAAGAATTTGTATGAAATAAGTGAAAGCCTTTATATTTTGTCCCAGTCACAGAAGAGTAAATTATAGCATGGCCAATATGTTATTTCATTTTTAAAATCTGTATTGGGCATCTGTTGTGCGCACTGCTACATTCAAAGCACTGTAAAAGTGTGTTAAGGTCAATATATAGATGAACCTGCTCTCAGAGATTCTTATTAAATATATACAGAACACTAGAGTATTAATATTTCATTTTCATTCTGTCTTCTTTATACGTGACCTATAGTTTTTACACAGAGCATAACTTCTAGCATTCACACTTTACTATATGCATTGTTAATATTTTGTACCCAGGAATGTTGATCCCAAATCATTTTCTTAATAACAGCTAGTCCCTCAAGTGTGCTTGTGCTTTTGGAATGTCAAAAAAAATGCTGTATCATCCAAACAAGTCCTCACTCTGGTTTCCATCTGGAATTTTACTTTGTATAAAACAAAGAAAAAACTGCAGATTTAGACTGCCTCACATGTGGTAATTACCTATCAGAGAAAAAAAACAAAGCATTTCCTAAGCCTTCAACTAATATAAGAAATAATTGTTTTTAAGTTTTCTGGTCATAGCAATTTTGGTGGCAGACCCCATGACCCATAATTTATACGTATTTCACTTAGGGGATCAAATCTTTACATCCTTTGAAATATTACAGAATAAATTAAGAGATGCAGGTTGTTTCCACAGTATTGTAGATAGTCTCTGAGCTAAGACAATTCTCTCATTGCTGTTAGACTTAAACAGAAACTAATGGACTCATAATTACTACTATATACTTCCTGTGAATTAGAACCCACTCAGTCTTCAGGTAAATTTACTGTACTTTTCTTGGTATTATAACTTTTATCAATCTTGTGCCTCTTGCATCACTTACATCTACTATATATGGGTACAAATCTTGGCCAAAATGATCTACTTTACTTTGTTAAAAATATCCCTCTTTGTTCACTCTAAATGACGTCTGATGAATCATGGAAGAGAAGACTATTATGGAAGTAGCTAAGTGAAGAACTAAAATCTCTGGTGACAATATAGTCTCTCAACTTTAAGATTCATGAAACCATTCTTTGGAATTAAAGCCTCTAGAGAAGGATGAATGCAAATAACCCAGAAATCTGATCTCAAACACATAATTGACAAAAGAATGAGTACATATGCTGAGTCCTTCACCCATACCTGGTCCAACTTCGCATATCAAATGCCTTTAGTTGAAGATAAAGAACACAAACTGATTCATAGGCACTACCCCATTAACTTTGCAGTTTCTGTGAGCACTACATGCCAGGTGCTACTAGTTTAATCTATATCCATATGCCAGTCATAAAAAAGTTAATTATTTCTACCTAACTTGAGTGTACAAATAATCACAGACTGAATAATACAAGTCACGGTGCCTAATTAGAATCCAGATCTGGGCTAAACGATGGTAAATATAGCTTAAATCTTTAGTGTTTATTTCTGTCTATACAGAAGCTGAGGAACTCTGCAGAGGTAAATGCCTGTGTGGTCTTTTGATTTGTAACTATGGAGATGAAAATAATTCACAGAGAAAAGGAAATAGCATTTTATAAGTGTAAATGCAAATTTTTGAAAGAATTAATTTTTGCATAATTTCTGGAGGCAATTTTTAAGGCTGTTAAAATTTTTACATTCTAGTCTCAAGAAAGTAATGAATTTGTGATTTTATGTGCTTATTCCTCCAGGCACTTTCTATGCTGATAGGAATGTTCAGCACTGTCAGGCTACACTTTCAATATGTGTAGTAGCCAGAAAAGAACTCAGAAAACAGTACTGCAGAGGTATATGTGTGTGTGTGTGTGTGTGTGTGTGTGTGTGTGTGCGCACGTGTGTGCGTGTGTGTGTGTGTGTGTGTGTGTGTGTGTGTACAGTGAGACAGCATTAGACAGCCCCCAGGACCTATACCGGATGCAGTCTATATTCATTGTCTATAGTATATATTAAGAAATTTCACAACTGTACTGTACTTATTTACAATAATATATGAACACACTCAACACAATCTGTAAAGTAGGAAATATCACATACTCGCCACAAATAATGAGACTTAATGCACTTTTCTAAGGCTATATGGCCAATAAATTTCAAAATGTGACTAGAATCTAAGGCTTTCTGGCTCTTGATCAAAGTTTTTGATTCACAGCCCCATCCTCCAACCTTTACCACTCCTCCCATTTCAAATTCTGTCTTCCCTAGGAAGTGAGAACAATGAGAGTTATCATTAAGGAGATCCTGAAGCAGAGCAAAATGACACTCCCATTGTATTTATCCATTGTATCTTCCACTGTATTTATCCTACACCATGTTCAAGCTGGCAAGCCCAGCACTGCCTCAGTATGCCTCAAAGACTCAAACCGCTTGCTTAAAGACTCCAAGATAAATAAAAACAAACTCAGCAAACTTGAACAATCTATTCATTTATTCATTCAAAAGTGTCTACTGGGTATGTCCTGTATGCAAATTCTCCTTCTCAAAATGTTCCATTCTCTGGAGCTGTGGTCTATCCCATCTGCCTCTTCCATCTACGTATTATCTACTATTATCTGTGGTAGCCAGCATACTCAATATCACCCTATGCTAGAATGTCTGATCAATGTGTTTCCTCATCCATCTTTAGTTCATTTGCCTCTTCCCTTCAAATCCATACTTAGAAGTGTGGCGCAAGCTGGCCTTGAACTTTCTTGTGTAGTGCAGGCTGGCCTCCAATAAGACTGTATCTCAAAAAAAGAATTAAAAGTGTCATATAACAGTGATATATGCACATCCATGTTTATAATAGCACAATTTGTAACAGCTAACTCTTGGAAAGAACCCAAATGCCCATGAATGTATAAACATGGGTGGTTTTTATACAACAGAGTACTACTCTGCCATAAATAAGGATAAGCTTGAGACTTCTAGCTAAATGGATGCACCTTGAGACCATACTCACAAGTGAAATAAATCAGATATACCTGTGTAAATATCACATCATTTGTTTGGTGTGAGAAACTGAAGTTATAAATAAGGACCAAAAATGTATCATAGATATTGAGACAAATATTTAAATGGGAAGAAGAACTAGGAAGGGAAAAGAAAAATGATAAAAGAAGGAAAAATTGGAAACAAAGCTTAAATAGGGAGAGGTGGAGGGGTAAAGGGAGAGTAAAGGAATGGGGGGGAAGAATCAAGATATACCATATATAAGTACAAACTCCCTATGATGAACTTGATTGTTACGTATATCTAAAATGTACTAATAATAAAAAATAAAAGTTATGTCTGTTTCCTTATCTCTCATTTATCTGATACCCTATTATAATGTCGACCCCTATAATCTAGTGTCTGTCTCCACCTCTCAATATTTCCTCACTAGTTTCTCTGCCATACTCCAGTTTTCCATTTCCCCAATGCCAGTGGACTCCTCCTTCCTTGGTTTTATCAGACTTTTCTCCTTATCTCTCTTTCCATCATTTCTCAGTCACTTTTGCGAATTCATTTTTCTTTTGTCACTTCCTAGTCTACCTCCAATGTTCTGGTCTTTCCTCAATTGTATTCTCTAACTTAGTTTTAACTACTTAGATTTTTCTATCTATCCAAGATTATATACTATTTGCTATTTTTTTACAATGCTTCTAGGTGCCAGTTGTTTTCTCTGCCAATCATTTCCACCCTGCTCATGTTCCATTCTAAAACCCATGCCAGCCCATTCTCTGTCCACAGATGGTCACCTAGTTCAATTAGATCCTGTCTCCTTGAAACTTGGAATGCGGACTTAGAGGCTTAAGATTAAAAACAAACAAAAAGCTATGAACTCCCAGGTACTTGAGTCATGGTCAGCATCATGGCAACCCTAAGTCCATGGAATCCATATTCATAGTGAAGTAGTAGCTGAGCCTAGCAAAAATCAAAAGAAAACAAATGGACATCAAGTAGAACAACTGTGTTGTTTCAGTTAAAAATGCAAAATTGGGAAGCCCAACTCTGTTTCTTACTATTGAATTCTGTGAGATTTATCTACATATTCTAAAAACCTTTGAGTGCATTAGCCAGCTTAATGGGATGTTGTTTTCCATGGAAACAATCTATTTTTTTGTATGATAATCTTTTTGCTAGAGGTATCTCCTTGGATGATCTCTAGACTACCCAAAGTTCTTCAAACTCAACACCTGCAAAACAGAGTCACTCAGTTCCTACACTCAATGGTCCCATGCCAGCTGTGTTTCTTATCTTGAGAAATCAGACCTCCTGTCCTTAACATTATTGTTTAGAAACCTGGGTATCAACTGTCCCCAGATTTCTTCCTCACTTGTCCCCACCACCAAATTCCTGGTTCAACTTTTCTCACCCTTTCCACCTCTGAATTATTTTGTAACTGTGGTTTCATCCTTATGAGTAACATCATAAATTTCCTGCAATACAAACAAAATAATCTTTCTAAATTACAAGAACGCTAATGGCTCTCCTGGCTAAAATATTTCACTAACTCCTCCCGTATGCTTTTGCAATACAGCCTAATATTTTCATATGACATCCAATGCCCTTCATGATCCAGCTCCTATCTTTCTAACCTCCACCCTCATCACATTGCTCTACATCAATCATCCTGAATTATTATGAATTCCTTGTATATAGTACACACCCTCTTTTATGTACCTTCACAGTAGCTGATCT